GCGTTTCATCTAATAATATATTATTTTATGAGTTTTTTAAATAATAAGAGTTTCTTTAAATATGAAGAGAGTTTCGTTTAGTAAGAAGAGAGTTTCCTTTAATAAGAGAAGTTGTGTATGATGAGAAGATATAAATAAATAAATAAATAAATATTATTTCTTCATCGGGTAAGTGCTGGTCTACAAATAGAGCGGCAGCAAGCTGTGGGGCCGCGGCTGAGCGACAGTAACCTGCAGCAGCAATTAAAAGAATCAAATTGAATAAATAAACAGAAAAAGATAAAGAAAGAAGAAATTTTCGCACATAGGAAGGCGTTGGTAGGGGCATCTGGTCGTTGGTGGGGCTGCTAAAAGAGGGATAGGCTGCCTAAGGAGTTAATGAAGTATTAATTGATATTGCATGCATGCAGAATTCGAATAAAATGTGTATAATTATTTATTTGTCTTTAATATCTTTCTGCTTACAACCTGACGAAAAGAAGAAAGGCCTCCACTAATAGCTTTCGCTGTCGGGGGCGCCGCTGCAGCTCCAATTGCAAATTCTTCTGTAGTTTGCGGGTTTTCTTCTGAGGGGTATTCAATATTAAATGAATGCCTTTATATATATATATAATATATATATTGTATATATTATATTAAAAACAATTTAGGCCTCTAAACGGTATTTATTTAATATATACCATTTATACATTCTATAAATACCACTTAGGCTTCTAAAATGATATTTTTTCGATATATACCCTATATATAGATATTATACTAAATATAGATATTATACTAAAGCCCAGTTAGGCCTCCAAATGGTATTTTTTTCGACATGTACCATTTATAAAAGTTATGTAAATACCATTTAAGCCTCTAAATGATATTTTTTGAATATATACCACTAATATTTTAACTAAGTGCCATTTACGTCTCCAAACGGCATTTATAAAATAATAAATTAATAAATACTACTTAGACATCCATTCGGTATTTATTCTTCAATGTATATTCCATTCATATACTAAATAAATATCCCTTAGACTTCCATGTGGGTTTCTCTAAATATATATTCATATCTTTTAGAGGCCTCCTAGCTGCTTTTGTCTCACCTATGATTCTGCACGCGCAAACGCTGTCATTCATTGGGGCCTGAAGGGAAAAGGAAAAACAAAAAGTTTTTATTTGTATTTGAATAACTGAAAAAAAATGCAGATTTCAAATAACTGATTACCAACACGGTGCTCCCGACTTGCACGAAACTGCTGAAACCTGCAGATATTTTTTTATCTTTTTTTCCTGTTTTTTCTTCTGTTTTCTGTTTTCGTTGATAAAAACCCAAAGAATATGAATCTTTTTCAAGCAAAGGGTGCCAGGGTTCAAGGAGATTTGAATTTTGCAAGAAAGTGTAGCCTGGTGAAGAAAGAAGAAGAAACAGAAACGAGAGAAGGGGCAAAAGAAGGAATTTCATTATTATTTGTCCCGTACTTTCAGATTGAAGGAAGAAAACCTTTCTGTTGCGGAAAGCAATGAATATATATTTAAAAAATGAGGGAAATATCAAAAATATGCTGCATACCATGCATCGCACAGCGATAGACCTGCGCATACACCTGAAAAAGAACTAATAGAAAAGCCCTATCTATATACGCCCTGCAAACTGAGCATTTACATAAATGAATGAATATATAAATTAAGTGCAGAACCCTCCGAAACTCAAGAAAAAAAGGCTAAAAACTTGCCTAAGGAGCAGCACAGATCCTCTCCTGCAGTGGGAGGTATCCGCAGATGATCTCATGAATTGCTTCCCCGCTTATTATATTGTTTATTATTTTAAAGTATTTAAAGAGAATGCTTCGAAATAACTCAGGTTATATTTATTACTGAAGATAAAATTCAATGTTTTCCCCCAGTGCGAGTTTCTGCGCTTGGGCGGCGTGCAACCGAGGCCGGTATCAGAGTAAGAGAGAAAAAGAGAAAATAAAAGGGAAAAGAAATGTAGAAGTGGAGATAAACAACAAAAACAAAAACAACGAAAACAAGAGGAAGGAGAAGGCGAAGACGAAGAAGTAGAAGAAGAACCACAACAGCAACAACCACAACCGCAACAGCAATAATAATAATGGTAACAATAACAATAACAATAACAACAAATATAACAATAATAATAATAACAAAAACGATAATATTAATAATAATAATAAGAACAATAGGGTTTAAACCTTCAGTGACAGATAGGCAGGCAAAGGTTTCCTTCGTTGCATTTGTTAAAAAGATCTGTCTGCAGCCATTCATAATTAATTGCCTCTGTGTTTGTTCATTTGTTTTCCTTCGTTGCATTTGTTGAAAAGATCTGTCTGCAGCCATTCATAATTAATTGCCTCTGTGTTTGTTCACTTGTTAATATGAGGTGTACACACACCTTGGAATTAATCTGTTGAAGATAAAAACAACGAAAGCAGCACTTTTGATATATTCATTATCTACTTATATACTCCACTGGTTCGTTGCAGGCTGGGGGCCCCCCCAGCTACACATGGGGGCCCCCTGGGGCCCTTGGATACAGAATGAGATATTTAGAGTCCTCCTGTTGATGTATAATTTGATTGGCATTTTAAATGGCTTCAGCAGATACTGTCATTATTCATTAAAGACAATAAGCTGCGCATACACCTCAACAACACCTCGTACCCCCAGCTGTTTATTGTTTATTTTCAACAGCAAACCCTAAACCCTCAATCACAAACCCTAAACCCTCATCCAACCCCCCAAATCCCCAACCTCTTTTCTCTCAGCTTTGATCTCCAGCTTCGTCTCTTCTCCTTTGCTGCAGTTATTATTAGCCTCTCAGTGATGGGGGCCCCTGGGGGCCCCCCCCAATCTGCTGCTGTTTATCTGCATGCAACTGCTGTATATAATGAATCCCCTTAGGGGCCACCTGGTGGTCGGCACTGACCCCCCCTTCCTCGTTGATCTCTTCCGCAATATCCCCAAAAGAAAAACCCTTAAAAAGGGGGCCCCATCGGGGCCCCCTAAACTGCACAGGGGGCCCCAGCGCCCCAGGGGGCCCCCTAAGCTAGAAGAGGGGCCCCACCCTGGGGGGCCTTCTAAGATAGAAGAGAGGCCCCACCTTGGGGGGCCCCCTAAGCTAGAAGAGGGGGCCAACCCTGGGGGGCCTCCTAACCCAGAAGAGGGGCCCCAGGGCCCCAGGGGGCCAGCTAAGCTAGAAGAGGAGCCCCACCCTGAGGGGCCCCCTAACGTACAAGAGGGGCCCAAAGGCCTCAGGGGGCTCCCAAAGCTAGAAGAGGGGCCCCAGTGCCCCATGGGGCCCCCTAACGTACTCGAGGGGCCCCATGGTGAGGGGGCCCCTCCCCAGCCACAGGGGCCCCCAGGTGATACGGGTATTTGTTCTAAGGCGCTTCTCAATAGGGGGGCCCCCAACGGAAGTACTCCTATTTCAGAGGGGCCCCCCTCTTCTAGGGGCCCCTCAAATGATGAAGATTTTGTTTTCTTTCTGTCGCACTTTCATTCAGATCATTATGCAGGCTTGGGGAGGAAATGGAACAGAGGCCCCATATGGTGTTCAAGTGTTACAGGTAAACTGGGGTTTAGGGTTTAGGGTTTAGGGTTTAGGGTTTAAGACTTGGAATGAGAGATTCGGAGGAGCAGAATGTTGCCTGCTGCTCCTTCGTGAGGGCTAGCCTCTGCAACTAATGCTCAGGGTTTAGGGGTTAGGGGTTAGGGGTTAGGGTTTAGGGTTTAGGGTTTAGGGTTTGCATTTATAGGAAACCTAATTGAGAGGATTTTAGGGGTTCCCCCCCACCTAGTAATGCGGCTGCCCATGGGGCAGCCAGTGAAAGTGCGGGGCGTCTTCGTGACTCTTATTGATGCAAACCACTGCCCTGGTAAACCCTAAACCCTAAACCCTAAACCCTAATCTTGAGTCTTATCGATGCAAACCACTGCCCTGGTAAACCCTAAACCCTAGACCCTTATGTTGACTCATATCGGTGCAAACCATTGAGCCTGCAAATTCAAAACCCCAAACCCTAATCGCAAGGGACGTGTAGAACCCTTAAACCCTAAACCCTAATCCTATGCACGCCATGAACCCTAAACGTACATATACTGCAAACCCTAGGTATTAGTAAACCCCATAACCCTAAACCCTAAAGCCTAACGCGGCTACAGCCACCGGAGCAGAATAGGTGTTCACACCTAAGAGTTTAGGGTTTAGGGTTTAGGGTTTAGGGTTTAGGGTTTGCGTGCTTGCGTGGTTCCCCATAACCCTAAACCCTAAAGCCTAACGCGGCTACAGCCACCGGAGCAGAATGGGTGTTCACACCTAAGAGTTTAGGGTTTAGGGTTTAGGGTTTAGGGTTTAGGGTTTGCGTGTTTGCATGGTCTAGGGGCTGTGATGTTTTTGTTTGAGGGTCCGGGCGTTGGCCGCGCACTGCACTGCGGGGATTTCCGCTACTGTCCTTCGATGGTGCAAACCCTAAACCCTAAACCCTTGCCGGATGCAACCCCCCAAACCCTAAACCCTAATTCTTCTCCATCCCAGCACCAGCTAGATAAGATGTACATGGATACAACATATGCAGAAGTAAAAACCTCTTTTCCTCCTCAACAAGAGGTCCTCTCAACTGCTGCGCAAATCGCAACACAGGTAGGGTTTAGGGTTTGGGGTTTTAGGGGTTGGGGGTTGGTGAGTCAGTATACACCCTAAACCCTAAACCCTCGCGACAACATCTTCTGTTGCATCTTCAGGCTCTAGAAGAGGCAGGGGGTAAAAACAATATTCGCTTCCTCGTTGGCACTTACACCATCGGTGAGCCCGCAACTAAGGGTTTAGGATTTTAGGGTTTAGGCTTTTAGGGTTTAGGGTTTAGGGTTTAGGGTTTGATGCGTGTAGCAGTATTGCAGCCGTTGTTGCTTCGGGCCCTCCCGCGACTTGCGCTTCCTGGGCCCACCCCCCCAACTGGCAGCTCTTATCTAGGATGGAGGGTTTAGGGTTTAGGGTTTAGGGTTTAGGGTTTGTGTGAAGGAAAGGAGCGCATTGCTTTGCATTTGGCTCGCGCCTGCCATCTGCGCATTTACGTGGCGCCTCAACGAAGAAGGGTTTTTAAATGTTTGGAGTTCTCGCCAGAGGTGCTGAGATCCCTAAACCCTAAACCCTAAACCCTGACCCTTGCGAATGGTTGCAACTTTGATACAGGTTGCAGTCGAGGTCTCTTGAGGCCTTCCTTGTAGGATTGCCTACAGCCAGGGTTTAGGGTTTAGGGTTTAGGGTTTGGGGTTCAGGGTTTAGGGTTTAGGGCTTGAGTTGCGGGGGTGCTGCAGTGGCTGGGTAGTAGGGCTGAAAGCCCCCGCATGCAGTCTCGCTGCTTGGGTGTAGGGTTTAGGGTTTTAGTGTCTAGGTTGCGGGTTTTGTCGTTTAGGGTTGGGCTTTAGGGTTTAGGGTTTAGGGTTCAGGGTTTGGGGTTTGTGCTCTTCGCAGCCTTCGTAGGGACGGGATGGGCTGCTGGTTCGAAGAAGCGGTTTGTGTAGGTCATTTGTTTAGGGTTTAGGGTTTAGGGTTTAGGCCTCCGGATTTGGGGTTCGATTGGGGTTTAGCGTGTAGCACTAACGTTTACCTCTTTTCTTTTTAAAATGTTTATATATATATATATATATATATATATATATATTATAAATAAAAGACGTATAGATATGATGCGTATATGTATAATAATATAATTAAAAATATATAAATGCATATATTTTTTAATGAAGATATACAAAAAGCTGTCTGCTTGGGTAAACCTTTTTAAATGCAAATACACAAAAAGAGGAAGGAGGTTCCTGCTCCTCCATACCTGGTCCTAAACCCTAAACCCTAAACCCTAAACCCTAAACCCTAAACCCTTAGCCCTAAGCCCTACGCGCTAAGGCTCAAGAAGCAGTGTTCTATGCAAGGTTTATTTAGGGTTTATTTAGGGTTTAGGGTTTGGGGTTTAGGATGTGTTGTTGTCGGTGCTACAGCCGAGAGGAGAAGTGCAGCATTCATTTCTTGCCCTATAGCGAGCACTCAAGTGCTGAAGAACTTATTAAGTTTGTGCAGGCGTTGAGACCCAAAGAAGTGGTATTATCCCTGCCCCCAAACCCTAAACCCTAAACCCTAAACCCTAGGCAGAAGAACCCAACAGTTAGTAGAACGCCGACGTAGGCAGCACATCATCGCAACATTGAAATAAGCGATTAGGGTTTATTTAGGGCTTGCTTAGGGTTTATTTAGGGTTTAGGGTTTAGGGTTTAGGGTTTAGGGTTTGTGCTGCTGCAGATTCCCACAGTAGCAGGCCCAGGAGAAGAGGCATACAACCGTCTTCACCGATTTTTCAATGTCTTAGTGAGGCAATTAATTTAAACTAATATATTTTAAATTATAAATAATAAATATATAATTTGTTCTCATTATTAATAATAGAAATATAATAAATAATAAATATATTATTTGCTTATTCTATTAATGATAGAAATATATCTTTAAATATATACATATATATATTTATATATAAATAAATATATATATATATATATAATATCTTTATATCATTTATAACCTAAGATGACATCTTTTAAATAGTAAACATTAAATATAAAATATGCTTTCATCATTAATAATAAAAGTATAATATATTTTAAACGATAAATAATAATAGCCCTTTTATATAATTAAGAAAGAAGAAATTATATATATAATATATAATATTATATAATATATATAATATATATATATATATTATATGCTCGATAACGAACAATGAAAATATAATATCTTTGTATAATGACTAATAGAAATATAATATTCCTTACAAATTAAAAATAAAAAATTAATATAATAATAATAATTAATAATAATTATTATTAATTAAAATAATAATAAGTATTAAAAATATGAAATATTTAATAGAAAATACTAAATATATTTTCTTCACTTTGCAGGTGCCCCTGCGCGGTGTACGTACACCGCAAGAATTAGATAAGAGAGAAGGAAAAGCCAGAGATTCTGCTGCATTTATTTATATTGATAATGCGCAGCAAGAAGAGCAGCAGCAAACAGCAACAACAACTCTAACAAATAAAAGAAAGTCATTAGGCTGTACACAAACCACCATAACTACTTTCTTCGCTCTCTCCTCAGTAAAAAATAAAACAAAAAAAATACAACAGGAACATGAAGCCATTCTAATAAGCGATTAATCCTTATTGCAGCAGCAGCAGCAGCAGCAGAAGAAGAAGCAGCAGCGATAGCTGCTGCAGGTGCTGATGGTGGTGCTGCAGGTGCTGTTGCAGCAGCAGCTGCTGCAGCAACTCCCGCAACAGCTGGTGCTGCTGCTACTTACCTGCCGACTTGATTGCAGCAGAAACAGCAGCAGCAGCAGCTGCTGCTGCAGCAGCAGCTGCTGCTGCTGCTGCATGGTTTTTCTTTTTTGAGTTTGGTTTGTTGTTGTTTGTAATAGGGCTTCGAGTGTCTGCATTTTATATGCAGAGCGTTCACCGCCCAATTGAAACATATTCGCATATTATTGTATATGTATTAGTTATATATAGATTATTGTATAAATATATATATTATATTTTACATAATTTTGCTCGATTACAGGTGTACTAAAGCATAGGATGTCTGCAGGCGCATATATATATAGCTTATAGCTTATTAACGGGTACACATATATATAATATATATATATATATATGTATATATATATATATATATATATATA